TTTTCCAACTGTTGTCTAGTTTTCTGCATTAAGCTTCTAATTAAGTGGGGAGAGGATACTAAATTTAAGATTTCAAAAAGGAAAGAGAAACTAGGGGCAAAAGCATTAAGAAGTGGAATTTAGACTAGCAGATCACCCTAAATATAACCCCAGGGAGCCTAGCTGGACATCCTCACTGCAATATGAGAGGCACTCTCCAAATGTGCACACTCCAAATCTCTACCACTCCTCCAGCCAACCACCTGAGAGGGACAAACTGCAAAGGCCACTGTGGTAGGCTGAACGTGGGAGGGGCATCTGAGCTAACTCCCAAAGTAGACATCAAACAGTCCCACCCAAAGCTTAGGCTGAATTCATAGACTCACATCTCCCCCTCTATCTCTAACAGAATCTCTTTTATGCTCATTTGATGGTTACTAATGAGAAAACGTGAGCCTCTTTCAGTTCAATTCAGCAAATACGATTTGAGCCTCTATTATGTACAAAATGCCGTGCTAAGGGCTAGAAGGCATAAAACCATTTTGTCATATGTCATGATTTATCTAACATGCTTTCCGAAGAATCAGAGGGTTTGGATCCCTAATTATACCACCTTACATTTGTAAATGGTTTATATGTGTAATACTTCACATAATTCTTATATAGATGCTCCTTGACTTACGATGGGGTTACATCGGATAAATCCATGGTAAACTGAAAATATCGTAAGTCGAAGGAAAACGTATTTAATACACCTAACCTACCGAACATCATAGCTTAGCCTAGCCTATCTTAAACGTGCTAAGAACACTTACATTAGCCTACAGTACAGCTGGGCAAAATCATCTAACACAAAGCATGTTTTATAATAAGGTGTTGACTATGTCCTGTAATTTACTGAATACTGTACTGAAACTGAAAACCAGGATGGTTTTAAGGGTACTCAAAGTACGGTTTTTACTGAATGCGTATTGCTTTTATGCCACTGTAAAGTTGGAAAATCGTGCAATCCGGAGCCGTCTGTATATATGTCCCCAGTATGAATCTGGCCCCCACATCATGGGCAGGAGGGGGGACAATCAGCTTTGTAGCTCACGAAAATTCGTAATAAATAAATAATCATTAGGCTTTGAGGGGAAAAAAATAAAAATAAAAAAAGAAGAGACTGGAATATATTCATTTTCTAATTGCCTAATTCTATACCAGGCATTATATATATATCAAGTCATCCAATAAAATAGGTAACATCTATCTGATATTGAATGACATCCCAAACTGTGCTAAGCGCCCTATAAGCACCGTTAACACAGGGAATCCTTGCAATCGCCCTATAACGTAGATCCTGTTATTAAGCCCACGTTACGGATGAGAACACCGAGGCCTAGAGACGTAAGTAACTCGCCCGGGTCACCCAGCTGTTAAGTGTCCCAGGCCGCACGCCCCGTCTACGGCACACAAATCCGGGCTCTGGGAACCTGTCCTAGGAGCCCAGGCCCCACCTGAGACTTGTCTAAATACCCACTTGGCGACACTGCCCGCGGGGCACCGGGAGCGGGAACTACAGACCTGTTTCCCCAAGCCACGGCTGGAAGAAGCTCTTGACGGAGATCAAGGGCAGATCCTTACTGATCCTGAGGGTGCTCAGGAGGGGCGCCCAGTCCCCGGCGCGGAGGCGGTCGGCGTTGAGGTCCAGCAGGCCGTCCCGCAGGCAGGCGCGCACGGCGGGCAGCGGCGCCGAGTCCTGCAGCGCGCACAGGTGCTCGTAGTGCGAGGAGAAG